TTGATTCGAAACACAAGCATATGCTGCTCGTTGCGTGCAACGCCTGTTCGTTTAGTACCAAGAAGAGAGACTGAATCAGAGACGGTTTTGTTTACTTACCTCTTTCAACCGTCTGCGGTTGTTCAGCGTCAAGATTTCTGAATTTTCACGTTCTTGGTGCTTTCTCTTCAGCCTCTTTGCCTGTAAATAGTTTCATTAAAAAGGCTTTTAACAGAAGTAACTGGTTTACACCACCGAACTTTAACTCAAAGTAACAAGTAAGTAAGTAGTCAGTTCCCGATTAATGGATAATTTTGGCACGTTTTGGAAGAAGTCAAAGAAACATTTGGAACATACTTTTCTTTGAATTTTCCCTGCTTTTTCCACCATGTTGAGTATCATCCCTTCGACCAACATCGAAGAAAGAAGCAGTATCAAAATCCAGGTTGCTACGGTTCCCATCTTGCAAACACTACCTCCACCTATGAACTGATACTTTTCCACAGAAATTCTTGTATATATAACGGCTACAATTGGGATCAGAAACATTATACTGGAAAATTCGAGCATTTTAATTTTGAGCCTCTTCCCTGAAAACATATCATTACGCCCAAAGTTATGCTCGTGATTTTACATAATTTACCACGTAATAACTCAATCTAAGGGCGTTTAAGAGCCTTCCAACCCCCATTTCCTTTTTGCCTCCCGTGATGGTGAAACTTAGGTGACAGGTGAAACTTACCGGTGATAAGAGGTTTCCTTCAATTCCACAGGCAGCCCAAGCTCACGTCTCAAGAAAAAGCCAACGATTAATTCATGAAAGCGTCACGCGTTGTGTGACTCGGTGTAAAGTTTATAAGGAATAGTATGGGAAGCGAAGTATGGTCGATTTACAACGATAAATATTTCGAAATACGTACAATTTACACGTAAAATCAATAAAACTTACTCACATCCTGAGTGTTCGTTGTAGTTTCTGGCGATTTCTGCCGTTTTAAGCTTGTTTTACCATCGCTTTTGTTATTGTTAAAAGACGAAGTAACAGGAATAACAGCGATGGTAAAGCAAGCTTAAAACGGCAGAAATTTATCGTTGTAAATGGACTATATTTCGTTCCCCATACTAGTCCTCATAAGGTGTTGAAATTTTCAACAGTTCCTCTCGTAACTTAACACCGAGTCACACAACGCGTGACGTTGGCTTTTTCTAGAGACGTGAGCTTGGGCTACCTGTGCCACCTCAAGCAAAACATTTCATTCGACCAAATTCTCAGACTGCGCATATTTACGAATGAAAGGTGTCAGTCTTTTAAAGAAATTGTGGTGCTGCGTCGGTGTTGAATGAAATGATAGCGTGGGGATTAAGAGTGCCGAGAGAAAATTGTGCGTTAATATCTGAAGAACAATCTGGCCAATTTTCACGAAAATCCAACAAATCTACACACCTCATTAATTCATTTAAGTAGAAGTAGCTTGCGTAAAAACAAACCTCGAGTTTTTAGCCTCCAGAAAAATTCCCGGTTTTTCATCGTATTCAGTCGTGTGTTATTACGGTCACATTACCAACCAATGATAGGCAACATTGAACTCCCTTGGCAAGTCTCGTGACAAAGAGGTCCATCGCAATTCCAGGGAAGGTCATCTCGTGCCCTCACCAGGAAAAACGAGTGGGTTGAACGAAGTACAAAAAATTCATTGGGAAAGGCAAAATTTTCACTTCATCAAAATCTTCTGCCTTCGATTTCCTTGGCCCGAGCTATCTTTTAGATTCACCATAAAGCAACTTCCCTTTTTCACCGTTTCACGATGACTCTTTCTTCTCAATGTTTTTGGAAATGTGACAGCTTCTTCTCATTTGTGCGGTGCAATACACGATGTAAACGAAACATGCAAATCGAGATCCCGGACGAGAGTCCGCGAAGAACATGAACACTCTGCTGGGGACGAGTATTATTACACTTTTCACTATTCGGTACCAGCTACCGTAAAACACTCTTTCAGTGCTCTCTCGCATTCTATGGAAGAATTTGTATTCTTTCTTTCAATAAATTACACTTAAATGATTTCTCAACTAGAGACCGAAAAAACCCAAATTTTGAACATTTTGACCAGATTTTGTTGACAGTAATTTTAAACCAAGTTATCGACACAAATTTACAATTACCTCTCATTTGTGCATATGCTGAAAACGACCTTGAAAACTTCATTATAAAAGTACTAGAAATGCAGTTCAACGCGTTTATGCTAAAGAATTTTAGTCAATATTATGCTTAAAATTATGCCGGCATGAACAATTGACATGACATGTAATCGGATGTTTAAGAGCCCTTTTTTGATCCTTATATAATGCAGCCCATCTGAACATACTGAAGAACGTTGATTTTTTTTCTCAGACAGCATTAAAATCATTCCCTTTTACCTTAATGTCTCGACAACCTCTGGAACGTACTAGTATGGCCGGCAGAACGGTATCGCTCTATTTCGTCCTTTTTAAAAATGATACTTAATCACAATACAGAGGGAAAAATTACCAAGTTTTGATTGGCTAAGACAGAGATAATTTTTCTTTAACCCGGTATTTGTCCCAAAATTATTTAACTGTTTATCGTCTTTCTGCTGCGTTTTTTTTTCATTCCACTATCGCGATAATGAAGCCATCGAAAAGATGTCGTCCTGCACGCACGAAAAGCCGCCATGTCAAATGGCTCACTAATTCAGCTTTTAAAACATGGAATGAGCGAGAGGCAACTTAAGGATAAGGAAAGAAAACGAGTGCATATATGTACATTGAATTTCTTTCCACGCAGAGGTTTATGGTCATAGATAATTTTAATCATAGAGCACCATCAAATGAGTATCGTCTACTATTCTTTTTATGAGAACCTTCTTTTAAGAATGTGTAGGCTGCGATTAACCAAAATTTTAAGAACATACTAAGAACATAACTTGGCTGAGATTCAATTCAGAAAGTCTTTATTTTGCTAACTTTTTTTTTTTTGTTTTTGTCTTTTTTTTTGCGAGAATTATAAATAGATATAAAAGAAATGTGAAACATGCGGTCTAACAGGACAATTAACTAAAACACAAATTTTAATATTAACAATGCGGTTTTCTAACTGTGCGATACACTGAATAACAACTCAGTTTGTCGTCGATACTATACCAAGCTTCCTAACGGTGAAGCCGTGAAAGAAATACAGGGTTCTACTTTTTTTTTTCGCGGCCCCTTTATCTTCATGTTTACCACGCACGCCAAAAACCGCCGGCTACGTAGCTTGATTAGGCCCTTATAGATTGTGCTAGTAAAAGTAGCATATCATATCCTGCCAGCACTGGTCTATTTTTTTCCAAATAATGCTCAAAATTATCTCGTTTTTGAAAACTTGAAAAAGGAAATAAAATCAAAGAATATCTATGCTAAACTCGTGCATATAGAACTTGATCTAGAGATGACCATGGTTGGGAAATTGCGACTCATGCAATGCTGCTCTTATCTCAAAAGCCACGCTTACGGAAAATCTCTGAGAGATCTACATTAATGGTAAACATCCAACTTCTAAAAATAATAAACGCATGCATAATCTGCCAAAACATATTAACAAAAATATATTAACGTCCTTGAATAAGTTCAGAACTAAAATATGCCAAATTTCTTTCGAACATCAATGCAATTGTTACTTATGTAGATATTAGTTAATGTACTGTATAAAATCTACGATTTTGTTTTTATTCATATTTTCTGTTTTTTTTTTTTTTTTTCTTTCTCGGAGAAATTAGCTATACAGCTACTCTTGTAAATCCGAGGTGAAATAAAGGTGATGTGATGTGATGTGATGGTATCCAGGCAAAATTCATGAAATTTAGCCTTCCAACACACATCTGCATTGTAACGCAATGATCTTTATTAGCAAGATTTTCTTCCGCATCTGATTAGTTTTTAGCCTCGGAGCGAAAATACCTCAGAAAGCATTTGATGTGACCGCTAGTTTTTTCGACTGATTGAAATTAACGTTATGCGGCAGTGAATTCCACAAGTTTTTTTTTGTCAGAGAAGCACGGGACTGTTTTCGTCCGCTTAATTCTGAACGATCCATGCCATTCACCAAGTTTTACGTAAGATAATTGAATTTTATCACGGTTCTTGGTTTACACCGGATCATAAACGGTCGAAGCGATTCACAATCAGTTAGGTTTGTGCCTGAACTCGATAAATTTCGATAAATGTTCACTTGGAAGGTGACTTTTTTAAAGCAAAGATGCTTACTATAAACTGTAACATAGCCTCTCTATGGTTTTATACGCGGATACTACTCCAACATGGTTTCGTGTTCAGGACGAATAATTACCCTAGTGCTGAGAGCGGTGACTTAATTTACATCTCGATGTTAGCATAACGTTCCTTTTCAATGCCATTTTGTTACCCGTGAAAGCGGAAACTAAGACTGACGTGATTTTACTTCAGGTGCGCACAGTTCTCCAGAAGACGAACGAACGACTCAGTTTTGAAGTAACCCCCTTCCCCAAAGACATAATAAGTCTTGGATACCAAACAGCTAAAAAATATGGTGATTATGCCAGCAGTGCTATTTTTTATGTCCCTTTTTTCAAATCGTGCCAAAAATCATGCTAGCACCATCTATAACTGGTAAAAGGATACGAAAGTATCGAAAAGTCAGTTCTTTGTCGTAAAAGAATACGAAAGTATCGAAAAGTCAGTTCTTTGTTGTGAAATTTGCGTGACGAGTCGAAAATGAGATGGCGTCGAGGGACATGAACTTAGCTACCTACACGTATTTACACTTCAGGGACTTGAATCCTTAAATCAACCCCGACTGGTGATGTTTTCCGCGAGTTCACTGGAAAAGAGATCTTGCGTTATCGTCATCACGTTACGTTATTGGTGGTCAAATCTTTGCGTGACGAGTTAGTAGTCTGATCACGTGGAAGGACAAACCAATCAAAACGCGCCCAGTCCTCAGACGACTAATTTAAGGTTTATTTTGTTTCTGCGCGAAAGATAATCAAACAAATTCAACATGCATGGTGTTCTCGGTTCGAAGTGGCCAAAGATGACTATAGCTTCATTTATGAAGATGAAGGAGGGAACCGCGCTGATTTACTGTGTGTACTGCGTAGGATTTTTGGTATGCTTCCTCAGACTTGTTGAAATGAGTATACATCAAACATTGATCAAGAGACCAGAGATTGTTTCCGTCTTTTGTCTAACAGGATTTATTTGCTGTAAGCTGCTTCCTACCTCTATTGACTCACAGAGCCAGAGAGCTTGGGGCATCACCGTCACTTGTCGGAGTTATCGGTGAGTGGATCTGCTAACAAGAACACTGCGAAACATAAATAAATTTGCTCTACCTGGAAACTCGCCAGTTCATTGACTAATTACACCTGTTTATTCGATGTTTTACTATATCCTACTTTAAAAAAAACCTCAGGTGCTTCTTCTCGATGGGAAGTTAACCTTGTTTATTTTTTTTGTATACATATACGCTTTTGTTTTTGTTTCTCTAAATGAGTGTTTCACATCATCGTTGTTCTTGTTTTACAAATTGTCCAGAAAATATGTCATACAAACAAAAGAACATGTTAAACAGAGACAAAAGATTCCTATTCTTTCTGTGAACTTTTGGTTATGGTTACTGTCTTGAAAGTACAAACTGAAGACTTGTGGAAAAATGTATTTTAAAAAGCTGGTAAGGCTTCAGATTTTTTATATTCATAAGTTTTTGTTTTATGTTATATTATGTCACAGGGTCCATATATGGTGGCCTTCAATTCTTTTCCAGTCCTGTCATGGTAAGAGGTCTGGCTATATGCATGCCAGTCACACCACACTGTTTGAGATTTCTTCACATGATAATTGATTTTGGTGAGGTCTAAATGACCAGTACGTGTAGAAATCTAGAGAATCTAATTGTTTACATAATATATCTACTAGCCATCAACACTAAGCAACAAGAAAGGCTCATGTTTTCATTTTATTTTGTTTTATACAATGTCACACTGGTGGGCTACTCACTTCAATCACCAATTATTACAGAATCCATAGCACACAGCATGAAGCCAATCAGATCGCAGGATTTTTGATATCATCCCTGTGGGGGGTGGGGGTGTAATATGGTTAATTTTTGCTGAGTATGTGCCTCTGGCCTCTCAGAACCCCTACCCTGTCGGTTTTAGTTTATTCTGTGGCCAATTATAGACCCTATCATGGTCACTTTTGACAAATGTAATTTCCATGATTTTAACTTAGTTTCATTGGAGTCTAATGCTGAGAATGTCAACCAACTGAGCTAACAAGCCAACTGGGTGCTGGTCATCATGTTGGTTCCAAATAAACCCATAAAGTGGCGAATAAACGACTGTGAGTATATGAAAGTTATATATTTGAACTGCATATGAGACGTGAATATGAAAACGATCTTCCCATACAGGACTGAATTTTTTCAGGCCTTATTTTCACTACTGCTCAAGTGGTGTTTATTACTGCGGAGATCGCTTTCATATTCACGTCTTTATCTGCAGTTCAAATATAAGACTTTCATATATTCACAGTCGTTTATTTAAATATAGTAGAGAATACTAATGAATTTTTTTGGCAGCAATAAAATCGTTTCCTTTTACGTTCCTATCACTACAACGTAGTAAATACCAATGTGGCTAAAACGTTTCTGCTTTTTTTTTCTTTTAAAGAAATTCTATTTACTAGCTTCCATCGTGAATGGTGTCACTTTGAGACCTTTTGGACCTTTCGACGGAATGATTATTGACAACGCCATGTGATCTGTTTTCAGTTGTTTCTGGTTACCAATACTGTCACTGCTTTTAAACCCAGGTTTTGTCCACAATCATATAACGAATTATATTGAACTCTTTTATCTTGATTTTCAGTTATACTTCTAAAAGTCTTTGAGGTTCGCATTAACATCTTTGAATTAGCTTCTTACTCCTTCAGGTAATTCCCATATCTTGAGGGCTAAAAGTTACAACCGGTTTATCTGTGGAAATTCATGGAGTTTGCAGCTGGTGCGATCAGGCCCTCAAGGAATATGTTTTCAAAAGTAAACGGGGAATTTCTTTCCCCCTCTCGTATAAAAATTTCTGAGGAAATACTTCCTTAGAGCTCCTCTAAATTTTTTTTATGTGTTTGCTGAGGTAGAGGAAAAGATTTTCTAACCAATGTTTTCTTGCTAATCAGCTAATTTTCTGGACAACGGGAGACTTGTGTGAGAGAGTCTTGACTTAAATTGCCATCCACTGCCCTGCTAAGTGAAATTTGCTTCGGGAAAGTTTTTTCATACCGAACTGGAAGGTGTAACTGTTGCAGTTTTAAGTATAATGTTTCTCGCGGGTTACGGTAAATATCCGGTACCATTAGCTACTTACACTTCGGTAGATCGTTATTAAAAAGTAACTTAACTTTACAAAGCCTTGAAGATGAAGTGATTTTCATGAAACCGATCTCTATTGTTCCAAGATATAATTTGGTTCCCTGTAAATCACGTTATGCCCGAAATGTCTTCGGATCTCTTGTTCCTCAACCCTTCTACTATCAAGATCTCATTTTTAATCCTCCCCTCTGGCAGCTAAATTTTTCCTTGTAACTTATTTCCGTAAAATAAGTTAGTGTTAGATCAAGAAAAAAAAACTTCTACGTGATAAGTTTGAGCACTCTCAATATCTGGATAGTACTGATAGAAGTTACATGCTAATCACTCTGGGAATAAAAAAGTGTTAATTAGCCCAGTTTTCTTCCCTCTCTTTTCCGATTATCATATTGTCATGTGCATGGCATGAAAATATTTTGCTATCCTCTTTTCACATCGAAATTATTTTAGCGCGCTTTGATTGGAAAAATCATCAGACAGATTCGCGTAAGCGTGAAACTCAGAGTCACAGTTATAGGGTTAATTAGCCCAGCCTTCTCTCTCCATTTCGATTATCGTTTTCTTCCCTCTTTTTTCGATCATCATATTGTCATATGCATTGCATGGAAAATTTGTTGTCATCCTTTTTCACATCGGAATTATTTTAGCGCGCTTTAATTAGAAAAAGTACCAATCAAAATGTTCGGTTACTCAGCTATGGTGCGATAAATGGTAAACTTTAATAAGTGAAATAGCAAAGTTGTCTCGTAAACACTCGATTGTTCCAAGGTTCATTCATTTATTCGGTAATTAATTCATTGACTGGTGCAACTACTTTTTGGTAGCCAATAGATCTGGTTTAAAATCCTGCAAAGAGACTGATTGTCTGAAAAGTTTGAAGAAACAAAGAAATGTCTATCCATTGTATCATCCACAGATTTTATTTTTACACATTGTAACCGATGTATGTTTATCATAAGGACACAATCTCTTATGGATTTAAAAAGTTTATTTTTGCAGCAACGTTTTATATTTCAATTAAATTATTTAATAAAGCAGGCGACCGTTAAATTATGGTAAGCTTTGCTGTCTTGAGTTGACGTGGTTTCATTTCTGTTGCTCCACTCCACATCCCAGCTCACGGGCCTGTAAGCAGATTTCTCTTCGGTACTTGAGCTCCAGTGTTGTCTAAACAAGCAATATAAACATAAAAGAATGAATAGAATTAGCGGGCTCTCTCCGTGAAACAGGAGCGACAGGAGGGGCGCGTGTTTCAGGAAAATCTCCCGCCCTAATCCTACTCGCCTTCACTCGTCTGTAAGAAGAAAAAAAGATGACGCCTCTTCTTGACTCTTAAGATATTTGCAATGTAGCTCGTTGCATATAAGTACGAATGCACCACAGTACCCAAAATGACACAGGCCACGCTTAAAAATAACCAACTCAAAAAAGTTGTTCGCTACTGGGAGATTTCTGCACTAACCTCTTTCAAGCGTCTGCGGGCGTTCATCTTCGAGTATTCTGCTGGATTTTCTCTCTCCTGCAACTTTCCCTAAAAATAGTGGAGTGAAAACGCCGTTTACGAGAAGTAATTGAATAATAACGTCAGTTGATACCTAGCTGAAATCGATGATAGTATGGTTTACATCGAAAACTGAACTCATTCAAGAAGAAGAAAAAAGAAGCAAACAGAATATTAAATGAGATAGGATTAAAAATAATGAAGTGATCAAGGGGCGATCATAAAACAGTTATGGCAGGTTTTGGAAAAAAATTTAAGCACACGGGATCTCTATGATAACTAATTTACCGTATTTTTTGTTTGTGGATCATTCCTTCGACCAACACTGAAGAAAGGAGTAGTGCCAACATCCAAATCGCTACAGTTTTCATCTTGTTTGTACCAGCCTCACTCACCAACTGATAATTTTTCGCAAAACTTCTCGCATATGAAGATATATAGAGGTGCGTCAGTCAAAGTAAGATGCATCCGGCTGTTTAGGAGATATCTTTATTTAGCTCTTAGGGGAGAAAAATTAATGAATTTTCCGGCAACAGTAGAACCGTTTCCTTTTACGTTCATGACACTACAACGTAATAAATATTGCTAAATAGTACTAGTATTTTACTATTATTAAAATACCTACTTGGCCGGAAAATTATTGCATTTTCCTTTTAAAGAAATTGTTTTTAATAACTTGCATCAACAATGGTAGCACTTTGAGACCCTTTGAATCCACCGACTAAATATTAATTAACAAGGCTATTTGATCTAATTTCAGTTGTTTTCTGAGTTCAAATACGGTCGCCGCGCTTAAATTTGAATTTTATTCATAATCATTGAGCGAATTCTCTCTAAATCTTCGATCTTGGTTCCCAGTTATACTTCTAAAAGTTATTGAGGTTCGCATCAGCATCTTTAAATTAAATTCCTACTCCTTCAGGTAATTCCCATATCTTGAGGGCTTTACAATAGGTTTATCTATGGAAATTCGTAGACACAACAGCCCATGCAAGCGGACCCGATTGTGAGAAATTATGTTTGTATGGAACTTGTCTGTGTAACGTTAGGCTTTAAAACTAGTTTTTTTTAGTGACAACAATGAAAATGTTTTTTTTTCTCGGAGTGTTTTTGGATGTAGATTTTTCAAATGATAGACCCCCCCAGTGTGTGCATTGTAGTCCAAGCTGCTGGTTCGATTAGACTCTCCAAGGAATATGTTTACAAAAGGAAACGGTGAATTGTTTTCCTTATCACCGAAATCTTCCTGAGGAAAAACTTTCTTAAGAATTCCTATACATTTTCGCATGATGCGATTCCGTAACCCTTTACAATCACAATACTGTCCTCAAAGAGTTTTTCTAACAACTGTTTCCTCAGTTTATCAGGCCATTTTCTGGACAACAAGAAACTTCGCCATAGGCCAAAATAATATACCCCACCTCCTATTCAAATTATCATTTTACAGATTGTAAAACCCACAGTGCTTCTTTCTTTGGTCAAATTCGGAATCCTGCCGACATCGGTTGACCCTTTTTTTTTCGGCATGAAATCGACAATAAACGTGCTTAATTTAACATTTCTAAACTTTTTATTTATTCGGAAACGAATTCAAAACACTCCTCAAGGTTGTCACCAGCTGGTAGTTCCAACGCAAAAACTCTTAGAATGATTGAATCCATCATCATAACGAGAATTGGGTTATGAGGTAAAGCTACATGCTAATAAAAGAACTCTGTGAATTAAGGCTATTGCCTTTCAAACGATAACTTGGTTTAGTACCTTTGAGTTACAGACTTTGAAAAAAAGAAGATTACTTATCTCTTTTGTTCCTATTTACACTTCAGCTCCTTCCGGTATTGTATCTCACGCTGTGTCCGAAATGTCTTTGGGTCGGCTCTTCCTCCAGTCTTCTTTTTATTTCGAAACTCGTTTTCTTCCCGCTCATTTTCGTTTATGGAAATTATGTATAAACATTAAATTTTGTTCCTTGAAGAGTTTGTAAAAACAGATTAATCTACTGATAGAGCATCACCAATATGTATGCAACACAGTCCAAGCAGCTGATTCGATCAGTCCCCTAAGAAGAGTTTGTGAGAACACAGCCTTTATTGAATTCAAGCAGTATATTTTTACATTAAACTATCTACATTTCGACGGAATCATTTTAATATTAAAGGTGAATGTTTTGTTTTATTAAGCCGTGTTATCTTGCGTTATTGAGGTATTGAATTAGGGTACGCGCATGTTATTCTGCATGTTTCCTCTGCACAACACCGAAGAAGGAGCAGTATGAAAATCCCGGTCGCTGCGGTTTCTTTCTTGCTAACAACACCTCCACCTATAAACTTATGATTTTTCACAGTAATTTTCATAGGTACTTGGGGGCAGTTGATGCAAGATGTATCCGGCTGTTTAAGAGCTCTTTAACAAATTTTCGTTCAGCTCCTCTAAAGAACATTAATTAATCACCCGGCCCAGACAGAAGAAAAACCATTAGGTTGAGTTATGGATAAGAAACAAAACTGTCCCAGTGGACCCAATTACGAGATCGGATATTTGCATGGTTTTTTTTTTTGTGTAACATTTTATTAGTGACTTATTTCAATGAGAACAAAATGTAGGATGCCTTCTGAATGTATAAGAGAATTGAATTTTTTTCCATACAAAGATAGCTAATTTCAACGGTAAAGCACAAGCCGATGGCTATATGTGTATCGCAGTCCAAGCAGCTGGTTCGATTAGCCCCTCAGCAAAATGCATTTCGCTTCATTCATTCATAAAGTTTGCTTCCTTAGCTTATCTAAAGCTGACTAGTGCTTTCGGCAACTGTTCAGTTTGAGTAAAAAGCCAATTAGAGGAAATCGGATCCCTCGACAACTACATCAGCCATCATAGAGCATAACGCGTATTGC